CTGCCCCCACTCTCGCCCCCGCTCTCGGGCCCGGTCTCGCTCCCGATCTGAATTCCGCTCTGGACTCCGCTCTGGACCTCGCTCAGGCCCCGCCCGGGCGGCTCCTTTTCGCGGCGGGCACCAACAGAGTTCGCCAGAGACATGCCTCGCACCTTGATCGTGCTTTTTTATATTCCTGGAGGATTTGATGTCGAATTCATTATATTAATAAATATATTTCCGCATCAATTTAATTAAATGTAACCATATTTATGTGGTGTTCTAAATATCATATTTTCGTCCGCATTATTCCGTGCGAACGAACTCAACTCGTTGAGTGCGGCATATGCGTATTATTTTAATCTTTATCCTGTTATGTTCTTGACAGACGTGAGACGAATCAATAAAATACGATATTTCTTCTTTATTATTTTACTCGGCAAAGTAATAGTTCCCATTGAAACGTTAGAATTTTCGTAGTTGTTATTTATTACTGCCAATGAAAATTTAAAAGAAGATAGTATGAAATTTGAAAACAGCAAAGTGATGCACACAATAAATTTATTACTTGTCAATATTAATCAAACTGATCAAGGAGATTCATTGTGGTTATGATGTGTGTTCAAAATGCAAGACGTGAAGCATTTGTTATAATTATTATTTCTGCTTACTCATAAAACATCTTATGTACAGCAACCTTCGTTAGCGATTGAGACGCTCAGGATAACAAGGGCTGATCCCAAACGACCTCTCATTAATTTTAGAAGTGTGACAGTAAAGTCCTGACTTATACCTGCCAAATGCTGAAATATCAAATGTATTGGGATGTGGCAAAATCCTGAAATTCCACCTTTAAAAGTTTGTCCGGGGTGAATGGTAACGTGAACGAAAATAGAAAAAGCCGTTTTTCTCAAAACGAACTTCGGTTGGGATCAGTTATTATTGTGAGCGTCTCGATTCGTTTCCTTCATGAGTAACATTACAAATACTACTACTATTTTGGCATACTACTACTATTTGGCAGTGTTTCACCCTTGTAAACATCGACCACTTAGTGGTGCGCTCGTTGCATAATGTTGGCCGCGCTGTTGCAGACGGGCAACAAGAAGGAGGCGGAGAAGCTGGTGAAGAACATCATCAAGGTGGTGATCAAGCTGGGCGTGCTGTACCGCAACGGGCAGTTCTCGTCGGAGGAGCTGTCGCACGCGGAGCGCTTCAAGGGCCGCTTCCACGCCGCCGCCATGGCCGTCGTCAGCTTCTACGAGGTGGACTTCAGCTATGACCGCCACTACCTGCTGACGGCGCTGGGCGAGGCGCGCGCCGCGCTGCGGCTGCTGGTGCAGCGCCACCTCACGGACAAGTCGCTGGCGCGCGTCGACGCCGTCTTCGCCTTCTTCGCCAACGCCGCTTTCCTCGACGCCGTCTTCCGCAAGGACTCGGAGCACCGCGAGCTGCTCGCGCGCATCGTCGCCGACATGAACCGCGCCATGGACGAGGGCGGCATGTGAGCGCCCCCCCACACACACAATTGCGCACAATAGGATGAAACTCGACACGAATAAGCATTGTAGATCCAAACACGATATCACGTTCAATATCACGTAATGTAACAGCGCTGCCATTGTGCGAATGTGTTGGAGTGGTTCAATCACACAAGTGACCATGTTGCTGTTAAGGAATACTTAAGGGTTATCACGGAATAAAACCTTCAATTTTTTTGAAATTCTCCAAAGAGAAACAATTTGGCACTTACATAGGTACGAACTGTTTATTTCAAAAGAGCACCAGATATTTTCCCTGGGTCTTTTTATCGGATTTTACGAAAGTTTTCATCCAAGTGTGTGCGATTTAAAATTTGATTTCATGTATTATCGATAAATCATATCATTTAAGATATGAGATAACAAAAAAATTCAGTTACATCCATAAATGATGGGTTTTTGTTTCTTGAGGGCAGGATTGAGAGCACTACAGTGTTCCAAAGATTTTTCGAATATCGATAATTCATGGAAACGGAGCGGGGGCCGGCACATCGCCATGCATGGAGTGGGGCGGAGCGTGTGATGTTGGTGCAAGAACAGAGTACGTTGGTGACGAAGTGGAAGCGTGGGCAAGGGCGAGAAGCTTTCTGTAAGACTCCAGTGTCGCAGAAGAACCGCGCACAAGAACGGCAGGAAGCGACCAAGTTGAAGTTGCGAAGCACGTCGCAGCCACTCATCCTTTGATTGTTGCCGCCCCCCCCCCCATTTGAAACTCAGAACGACGCGTGTGATTGGACATAAGAATTAAATGAGGGGTGGTTGAATCCTCCAGTGTTGTGCCCGAGAAGCGAATTGTTAAAACTGTCGATGTCGCACTTCGCACTTTTCAAAGTTCGTGATGTTCCGGTCTTCATGAAGTTCTTTGGATTGATCTGAACATCGATATTATTGATCAGCTGACTTTGTTTCCTACGAAATAAGCCAACTCGCATACACATTCAATATTCTACCGTAACTCGCCCCAGTTATTGCACTCAGGTATGTCCTGAACTGAACTGAACTGAACTGAAGTTTAAGAGATAGTTTTGACCCAGTGATCTCTTTGGCGCACTTCGCATGTTTTCAGCGCTGCGAATCTCGTAGCTGAGGGGACGTTACGAAGCAGGAACGAAGACGAGGATGAAAATTTAAAGATGTGATTCTGCCAGGAAGTAATTTAATGAACTACCATTTACACACATATAAACGAGACCATCTTTTGATAACCACTCACATATTAACGGAAAAGATAGACATTTCTGTTCTGTCTCATTTTGAAAACTACTTTCATTGAGTGAGGATTGTACTTGAAATTAATAATTAATTAATTTCCCAGCTAGATTTATCGTTTTTAGACTTTAAAACGTTCGTAACTTGCCTATTGATTATATTAGAAGGAAATTGTTAAGCGTCTATCTAGTTGAAGGTTCTCGTTCCTGTTTCGTCAAATGATTACAGCTCATCCGCGCCCTGCGAATCGCGAGTGATACCCTTTGAGTGTTGTCGTTGTGTTGATGTTCTGTTGTGCTTGGCCGCTGGCCCTCGCGTCAACACGCCAAGGACCCTGTACAAACAGAACGCCGCACTGTTGGTGTTGTTCTACATGTTTGAAGCAGGAAAAGACACATCAGCCCTTGGAGCGGCTCCCGCCGGCGGCCAATGGCACTTGTTTGTTAGTTCCTTTGCTCGTTCCCCGTTGTTGGTTTGTATGCGTCATTTATGTCGATCGAGAATTTGTAATACTGATATTGTACATGTATGTGACGGTGCGTGTAAAAAGAGCATGAAATGATTGGGAGTAAAACGTTGGCATTTTGAAAGAAAATATAAAGTCGCAATGTCGCGACCCACTGTTCTTTGTACCATATCCTGATAAATTCTCTGCAGTTTTGTAATGCTGCTGAGAAACGTAGGCGTAAGGCTGCTGAGAAACGAAATTTCAATGGACAAAGATGCAAAAACATATTGTTTATATGCCCACGATATACATTTATGAAACAACAAAAAACATATTTTCTCTCGCATTTAGAAAACCTTGTCCAGTAAACGAGAAAGCTCTGCTTCTGCTCACCAAACGCACCGTCACCCTACTTATTCTAGATCATGGTTTTCTACGATGGTCCAGCTAGCTGTCTGTGAACCAGCCGCTGCGCTTCGAGATGATGGGAGGGCGCGCATGGCCCTCACTCTCGTCTCGTCTCCTCTCCTTTCCAAGTCCGCCCCCTCTCTGCCTAGGGTTCCCATTGTTTTTTTTAATGGGACACTCCCACATTTGCATTCTCAAAACAAGGAACTATTTCTTTAAAAAATCAAAACATGTTAAAAATAAACAAATACAGGAAAAAGTGAAATGTGGCTGTTGTTATAGATACCTTATGAAAAATCCATTACAGAATATAATAATTAATAAACATCTTTGTTCTTCATCCGTGCATTAAAAATCATTTTAGTGAACATTTAAGATGTTCTGTAACTGTCACCCCCCATAATACTTTCCCGAAAAGGTTACGTAAAAAAGGAACGTGACGAAAATTAGGAAAACCGTAAGAATTTATTTAAAACGGGACTGACCCGAAAAAAGCGG